AAAAAAAAAAAAAAAAAAAAAAGAAAAGAAAAAGGAAACAAATTCCAATTTGCCTATTCACTATACAAAATATTCATAATGAGAAACCTTGAAGGCTTTGTTCTTATAACCCTAAAATAGGATTCGATTTGCAAAAAATTTAACTTATTTGGCACTTTCAGAATCGTAACTATTTTCTATAGCCTGTATCAGTCCCATAGTCAGTTCATATGTGTGAGTTAATTAAGGGGCTGGAGAGATGATGCAGCAGTTAAGAGCACTGGCTGCTCTTGCAGAGGACCTGGGTTCGAGTCCCAGCACCCACATGGAGGCTAACAATCATCTGTAACTCCAGTGCCAGGGGAATTCAATGCCCTCTTCTGACCTTGCTGGGCATTGCACAACAGAGGTACACTTACATACATGCAGGTAATACACTCATACACACAAAATAAAAATAATAAGTAAAATATGTTTAAGAGTTCATTGAAATATTTGTTACTGGAAATAAAAACATGCTAAAATTAACTTGAAAACAAAGGTTATGTGTACTCAGCACATTTGCTTATCTACCCCATGCCAGAAATGGCTACTGAATATCCAAATGCCCAAGTATCTTTCAGGTACTGCTAAAAAAAAAAAAAAGCCATCATTAATCATTTGGTGTATTACAGATCAATGACATATTTCCTTGATATAGACACTAAATATCAACGTAGAACGTCATCACTATATAGGGAGTGCAATGCTTCTTTTCAACAGAAAGATGAAGAGGCTGGGCATAGCGCACGCCTTTAATCCCAGCACTTGGGAGGGAGAGACAGTCAGATCACTGTGAATTCAAGGCTAACCTGGTCTACATAGAGTTCCAAGCTAGCTGGGGTTACAGGACGGCCCTGTCTCTAAAATAAATAAATAAATAAATAAATAAATAAATAAATAAGCACAACAGCAGGGTGAGACTCTTGACTCAGATGTACACGACTGAGCTTTTCCAAACTCAATTCCCTCAGATTTCTTCATGGGATACCATAACAAGAGACTTCATAAGTGGAGTGGCCCATAGGAAAACATTTCTCACATACAGAACCTCTAAAGTGTTTGATGTGTCCAGTAGCTCAAACACCAACACAGGTTTAACTAATTCTTTCATGATAAACCTCAACATCATTAAATAAAGTTTATAAAACTTATTCTATAATAAAGTTTTTGTGTGCCTTTCTAGACAGCTATTAGTACACATGCACAAATGTTAGTGGAGTTTCAGGAAAAGAGAATATTAGGAACAAAACAACTTCCTAAGATCAGTCTATCAACAAGAACTTTCTGAGCACCTGCAATGAGCGCACATGAGGAGGGGCATCCCTGAGCAACGTGCTGACCACACTCCCGCGCCAACAAATGACCTCATTTCTCAACAGGGCAGTCTGCACCCCTGGAGGGAAATTTTTACTGTTCATGCCTTGACGTCTCAGAAAGCCTCTAACGTTGGACAGTGAAAAAATAAA